CAGGAGACCTTAAGGGTCTAATTGAGTTTTCACCCCATACCTTTCTTCCTTTCTCCCTCCCTCTTAGTTGCAAAAGGCATCTTCAGGCACGTCAAATCACTGTCACGAAGCCACTTTTTCGGCAGTTTGACATTAACGGCCAGGGCTTCATGATCATGCGTCTGTCAGGAGGAGGCAGCATTGGCATCAGCGCCAGTGGCAGCGGCTGCAGTAGCGGCAGCAGAGGCAACAGAATCAGCAGTAACGTCACGTCACGTCATGGTACATTTCTTTCGCCTAGCAGGCTTTTGACAATCAGGGGCGCCAATGTATAGGGCACTGTCCACTCCAATCAAACCCACTCATCCTCCTCCACCATTACCTCTTCTTCCTTCTTCTTCGCTGCTGCCGCCAACTTGACAGCATTTGGACAGGCGCTTGTCTGTTTGCTACCTTCTAAATGTATGTGTATTTATGCATATTTTAGCGGTAGCTGTAATAAGTGTGCCATTATGGGCAGCTAAGAGGTGGCAGATTTAAAATCTTGCTTATATGCAAGCAGGCAGGCAGGCGCAGACAGTGAAGCATATATTCGTCAAAAGTCATTCTTTACTGACTTATTTTCTTCATATTTTATGGAACTGCAAAATTACTCCTGAAGACGTCACAAGTTAGACAAGAGAGGAAGTAAGTTTGTTTTCGACAACACAATGGCTGAGATATCTTTGAGGATGACGAAGTAACAAGCTCCAAGCAGATACTATACAGCTGCCAAACCTTCATTTCGTTTTAAATGCTATTCTCGGTGCTGCAGCTGATTAGAAAAAGCAAAAGACAAACGTCTTTCGTCGAATTTGTGCCTTAAAAGTGACTTCGGTAGACGAAAATTTTCCCAGTGTGACAGAACCATGGTAGAAAAACTCGCCCAACTTCGTTTTGGCACCCAAAATGAGTTTACTTTTTGAAATCACTGTTTTCATGTGCCATTCCGTGACAAATCATGTGGCGGCCAAGCCTCTCACATACTCAATTTTTACGGAAAGGACTTCTATGGATCCCATAGTTACCATAGCTGAGATTGCTAATGAGGTGAAGATAAACTGTCCTCCTGAAAACGTCAATACCATCGGAAAATACATAGTTGAGACTGAGCGTCTCATTACCTGCACCATCACCACACAGTTGTATGGACTAATTTAAGCAGGAAGTACTCTATCTGCTTTTGCGAATAGTACCTTTGGGAGAGTGTCCCTTTTTATATTACAAAGAATAGACTAGGGCCGTGGACGGGATAAGCAAACCTCTACCTCATTGTTGGAAAGTATTAAATGCGGAAGGCTGACAAGAACCGCATATTTCCCATGAATAATTAAACCTATCACCCATCTAAATAGCCACTATTTTGATCCTAGCTCCGTCTAAGGGGATAATTATCCTGCATTAGTCATTAAAAGACAATTTTCCAGTGATTTATGAGAGCCATCTATCAAGTATTGTGATAGTAATCTAAAGTGAAGGAACTTTGCTGGACAATACTATCTAAGGCTGGTCAAAATTCCACCATGTTTTTCATATGCACAGTAGCATTTGGTAGGAATATTTGCCCTTAAAATCTACATCCTATTAGCATAAAGTAGCATCTCAAGATTTCACCCCAGTTTCATTCCATTTGCTTTAAAAGTTCTTTGACATTCGAATACTGACCTATCATTTTTCTAGGTTAGTAAATTCATGCCTTGAAGCATCAAGAAGCATCATATTTTCAGACTGCAGTTAATGTTTCCTACTAGCACCATTAATACATTTATTATCAGGGTCTCTGAGGAAAATTTACTGCTATGCTATCCAAACTCTTGCTTAAAAATTATCCGATCTCTTTGCATACGGTGTTGGTATAATAAATTACCTTAAAATATAAGGAGCTCATGCCACACATTTGCAATACCGGGCTCAGATCCAAAACCCCAGTGTCATATGGGTGCGGCGCTGACAAACAGGCTGTGTGAGTTCCAAAGGCTAAAAATTATAGGACTATGTCTTTTAAGAGTCATAATTCAGTAAAATTTATTAACTGTGAGGTTTGAATTTACTCAGAGGTCCTGATGACAAAGCGTTTTTTTCCGTAACTGACTGCGTGTTTTAAGTTACAGTTAAAGTTTCTATTAAGGTTTGCTGTTTTTGGATCATCTGGTTTATTTAGACTTAAACCGCCTCCGAATTACCAGCTAAACCTGCCATTTACTTTGAAAAGAGTATAAGTTGCCATTAACCTATAAAAAGGCTGGAAGACTTGAAGCATAGATGGTGTGCTCAAAGATCATTGGTATCATCGCGGAGGTAAGTGAGGAGTCAGTTTGGTAATTAGGAGCCCTTTTTTCTTCCCGCTCATCCAGCTAATACGCTATCGGGAAAAAAATACGGAGGTCCAATCGACCAGGGCAAAAAAACGCAATGATATAGCAAATAGACAGGGGAGAAAGCTAAAATAGTCAGCAAACAACTTTGCATGACCGCTGTTCCGCCTGCGGTCACCCGTCACACGAGTCACACAAACCAACTGCTGTCACTTCATTTCTTCACTTTCACTAGCGTGAACACAAACTGACAGCCGAACATGCCGTCCAATATGGTGTAGGTGTCACATCCCATCAGCGGTGAAATGAGACGGAATGATTTAGTTCGACGTTAATTGGGTCAAAAAGTGGCTTGAGTGGCACCAGCCAGCTAACCAGTGGTCAACTTTAGCAGTGCCAATGGCAATTCTTTAAGTCTTAATTAGTGTGCAGGTAAAGTGAAGCTAAGAACTGTTGAGTGGTTGTTCAAGTAAGTGATTAAGACAGACATTCAAGTCAAACTGAAGCACTTAATTCTGCAGACATTGAAAGAGTTGATGCTGTGGAGGACCATACACTGTAGTTAACGAAAGCCCGTCCTTTTGCATACTTAAAATTACCACGAATACAGTGAGTCAAACCGGAAAACCACAGGATGACTAAAATTTGATGACCCCAGGCCCAGCAGTATCAGGTCATTTTGAGTTATGTAAATGCTTCAAAGACGGCCTAACGTCGGTGACAATCGCAGACCGCAGAATTTCCAATCACTCCAACCAGCATCGAGTAGGAACGCAGAGGGTCCGATTCTTGTTATCAAAGAAACACATCCAGTTAGGTGACTCCGTTGGAGCCTCAGAAACGCAAAATTATCGTAAATTTCTTAAAAGTTTCTTAGAGGTGCTGAGAAACTCTCATGTTTTTTCATTATGGTCAAGGGGTTGATTGCAATTTGCTGGAATGGGGTTGTGAGGGCGGGAACAGATGAGTAACCAATTCACAGCACTCAAAACATGACAAGGGCTATGATTGAGCAGACGATTCTGATTCCTGTACTTACAGTTTACCACTATTTTATATGACCTCAATAAAGCCTGCTCTTCTGTTACTCAAAAGTGGCAACATTTTTATAGATCTATATTTGATGTTACTTTATTTATCACCTAGTTGTAATTGACACCTTTCATCAACATATAAGTATCTGAGACTGGATCCCAAAATCTGGTTATATTTCTTTGCTTACATTTTCAGTACATAAATTGCTGTTACTTGCAGGGACTTGGCAAGTGCATAACATTGTTTACATGCTTGATTCGTTTTGGATTTAAATCAGGGAATCATTGTGGGGATCTTTCACTTCCCTCTTACTTAGAACATACTTGCCTTATATTTATATTTAAAACCCTCAAAGGCTTCCGAGATAGCATCTGCCAACAGAATGTACTTTCCAAGTATTGCTTACACAGACTCTTTCTAATAATGAATTGTTCATTCATTAAGTTTCCAATGACTCTTCATTCTTGGTTGCGTGGAAGTGTGTTTGGTTACTGACACATTAAATGGAGGCCAAAAAGTCAAGAGCCCTCAGTAATGTCTAATGTGGATGACGAACCAATTCACTTACATCAACGATATTAGAGAAAATTGAAGTGAAGTTTAGGTTTGTAGTTGCTAAACGCAGTAACAGCTAAGAAGGGGTTTCAAAGACCATTTTTCTGTTGATAAAAACACACGCTCTTGTAACACGCTTCCCCACTAACTTTCTGGTAAAGAAAAAAGGCTCTTGCATAGCAACGTTAGGCAAATAAACATATCATCCAGACAAGTCACTTGCACACTATTCAGCATTTTCAAGGCACGCACCACTTTATCACTAGTATGCTGTGCTAGCTTTATGCGTCTGTGCGTGTTGCAGAATGGATATGTCTTGTTCACTTGCTAAACGTCAAAAAATGCTGATTGACATCGACCTCCATGATGTGGTACAAATCAAAGTTGTGGCAGAGCAACCTCAACCTCAGAAACAGTCAGAACTGATAAACCTGTTGCGAGTAAGTCTACTTCTAATTCTTACAGGATGATGTAGTATCACGTATTACCGAATAAGTGATACGTGGAAAGATTTGAGCTTTAGACTGAAATGCCTCTCATCCTTATCCACCATGGACTTAAGATAATATTCCACCAAGTGTTAAAAATTAGCCCAAATGAGATTATTAAAAGTAAGGTCAAAACTGAGGTGTCTAGGACCATGTTGTTTGCATTCAGAGTAAAAACACTTCAAAAACTGCCTAATTTTATACTTTTTAAAAAAATATACAAAAACCATGTTGGTTGTTTTAAAAGTAACTGCTTTGCAAGAGGTGAATAAGCTTATTCGATGCCCCAAGGATTAAATACTATTACCTCTAACACGCATTTACTTAATTGAACCGTCTGGTTGACAAAAGGTAAGTCAATATCAACCCCTTGGCTAAGTGGACGTTACTGGTCGCCAAGGCGATGGCAAGCACTGATCCCCCCTAAAACTTTGATAATCTGTAAGTCTATCCGTGCTGCACAAGTATAAAATTCCTTTGATCAGCCTTTCCAATCCATGGCTCTGAAGTCTGAGGCGGGAGGCAAAAGCGATGAGGCTATTGCATGTCTGTGGACTTTCATTAATATGTTTGATTCAGATTTTTTTAGCCATTATTAGTGATGGCTGCACCTGTTCGAGTAAAACGCTGCTTACAAGAAAAAAAGAGAATCTTCAGAGGTAAATCACATCGACTTTCGTGTATTTTTCATGCATTACGCTGATGATGCTTCCATGTGACTTCAAAAATGCTAATAGTCTTGACCTCAGCAAATTGCAAGGTTAACTTTCTTTCCATTATCCGTACTGAAAACATTAATAGAAGCTTAAAATCCCTGTTTGATTTGAGCCTTCATGTTTCGGGGCAACCCAATTTCCGATCATTACAGCCTAGTGGACATTTTCGTACTCATTAATTGTGTAGTATTCCCAATTTTGAACTCATGAACAGCGCATTATCAGCAATAAATTTTCAGTTACCACATTATAGCTGCAAATACAAAGGCAAAGTTAAATAAGACTAAGCTAAACTGAGGCTTTTAAGGTTAAAGGTACAATAAGAGATGCTATCACCGCAGTGTCACGCGCACTAGTAAGCGTCAAGTGAGTGTACTCGGAGTAGAGTCAGAGACCATGATGCCAGGCATTGAATTCCACATGCTGTTAATTTATCTTGAGAACAAAATCAGAAAGTCCTGGGTTCAGGATATTCAAGCAGGAAGAGTGAAGTAACACCTAGTAATAGTGATACAAGTTCCAATAATGGACATAAATTGGTACTCTAGTGACAAGCCCAGTTATGGTGGTTTTTGTCTTTGGCGTATTTGTGCAACAGTCATATCTGTAGAACGCTCTAACCTAGGCTTATAATCAGCACAATCTGTTTTAAGGTTACACAGTGTACAAAGCTTTCGATGAAAATGATTAATACATCATAACTTAATCATTCATGAATAAATAGAATTCTGGAAAGTTTGTGTACGCGAGGTGACAAGATAGCTTATAGGTTAGATTGCGCAGTGAGGCCGAATGCCTTGGGATAGGTCAGCCCTACTGAAAATCCACCTATAGCAGTATTACCATCTGGGTGTAAGGTAGATGCTAAGTGAGTTTAATAAAAATTAGAAACAACTATTCAGAAGAGTCCTATTTTGAAATGTGCTCTCTACCCCGTCTTCAGCAAACTTAAATACCTTGGTTGGATTTCGATTTCGCTGGTGTTTTTTAAGATTCCCCTTTGGCATGTTTAATTTTTCCTATTTGTGAAGCGGGTTGTCTTATGTGCCATGGGAAAACATACCTCGTCCTCTTTGCTCAGCTTACATTTCAACTAATTCAGGGGCGCAGGTGGTTTCACCTGGCTGACTCAGATTCCAATAGCTGAGACATCACCATGTCACAAAACGCTAGGTCAAGGCAATAGAGTTTGTGGTTGACATTCTACATTAAAATTTAAATAAATAGGACAACCAGATGGGATCTGTGTTATAAACTTCGCTGGACATTAAAGATGTCAAAGTGGGTGGGGGAGGAGGAGGTGAGGGAGAAATAGGGTGACAAATGGTGAAGGACATAACATCCAGTGGGAACAGATAGACCAGGGAGCATTCAGGTGTCAGTTTCAGGAAGGTGGGAGGTATCTTTCGGCAACCCTCCGGATGGAGCATCAAGTAGCGGTTAACTTCAACTTCCGCTTTACTGTGGATTTGCAGAACATCCATTTTATAGGAAGCTATCTTACCGCATAAATTTGATCAAACCAGAACACAAGCCATGGAAGCCAGTCAAAATGTATTTCTAATGAAAAATTTAAAAAACCGTTTGTGTGTTTAATTCAAAAATTTTCTAATCACACGGCCTTAATTAGTGCTACAAAACACTATGAAGGTTGCAAATAACCACAAAAAGGTTAGACTGGGGCAATTTTCGGAATGGAACAATATTAAATTTTGTTTTTATTCAGCCGCAGTGCAGCCAAGGTGGGACATTAACATGCTTTCAATATGTCGAAATGTGGTAAGATTAAAACAAGTTTTAAACTAATCAAATCAACAGTCTAGGGTAGAAAAAACTATTAATTTGCAACTTCAAGAAAGGTTAAAATGGGAAATTGCTTTGCTTTCCTCATAAGGGTAACTGTCAATTCGTGAAAGTTACTCAGCAAGTTTTACAATAATTTGGATCAACGTACTGAATCCTTTTTAGAAACTGTGAAACTTATAAGTAGGATTGGTCGTTGCTTTCCTTGCCAACCTACTATATTTGGTCAAAAGCCGCAATTTTTTTAGACATTTAATTTTCTTGCAACGGGAGTTTCCTAGCCTCAAAATGTGTACAAGTGTGAAGCTGTTGGCAGCAGTGAATACAAAAAAAAATAAAAAATTAAGAGATTGTAGAAAATTTCCCTTATCATTGCCCTGATAGATCACGCCATAAATCGTTTATCTATTTATCTATTATTTGTCTCATCAGATTGTAACGCATCTCAAAGCTCCCACATACAAATCACCATTATTTTTACAGCGATTTCCAACAAATGCCAAGCATTTAATTGTCTAGTGGCACTAATATTGGACCACTTCAAGGGATTCTAATGATTTTCTAAGCAATTTGATCAGCTAAAGTTCAGTTTTTTGATGCTTATTTGACATGTAAAGTTAACTCCAAATATCCACAGCCATTTTCACATAAACAGACTATCAAATCCAGAATAACAAACACAAGGGTCTATCAACAGGCCTCTGAAAGACCGCATTGGTAAATAGCCAGTACTCCTTATAATAATTCCTGAGTACCGGATTTTTGCAACCAAATATTGTGAACTGAAAGGCTCTTTGGTAATAGGAAGTGAGCTTATTAACTTAGAATCGACAGAGTCAGTTCAACAATATTGTTTACATTTCGTCTTCAACTCAATTTAGTTGCAAAAACAGACGAGCCCATACTTGTGTTCTTGGAAACCTAACCATAAATATTTATTCTCGGGTCTTGGCAAAAGCTGTTAAATTGAATAGGCATTGAGGTACAATGTTTTACTTTCTAATACTAAAAAGGCCCTTTTTAGGCACTCATGTCTAACTTTTGTAGTAAGAAAATGCGGCACCCACTTGGTTAGTAAAATATCTAATTTTATCCTCCTTGTTAAATCCAATTTTTACTGATAAACAGAAAATATTTTTAAAAATAATAACGTTTTAGTCAAATACTCGACGGTTCTTAGTAAAAAGGGAAACAGGCTAAGGAGTGTCCAATACCTGTATATTGTCTTTTAAAATAAATGACAATATGGTCCTATCAAAATAGTAAGTGCTCACCTATGGTAACTTCTAACAATAATAACTTAAAATTAATTATCTGTGATAGTGCAGTGGTGACTAGATATGTCGTTTTCTTGACTGTCACTGCTCGCGAAACTCACCAATCTTAAAAGTTTGATGATGCCCTAAAATGTTTACGTATTTCCATTTGAAGGAGATAAAAGTAGAGTCACTTTATCTACCTTAACTAAAGCACTGGCCACATCAATTAGTGCCTATGGCAAATAGCTGTGTCGAAGTGGGCTCTCCTATCGTGCCGTTCCCTTTGCTTTCTGCCAACTTCCAGATGATGCGAAGGGTGTCAATCCTTTCCAACAGCCCAAGTAAGGCCTCTAAGTAATTCTTGAAGAAAGTAGGTCTAAATGCAGAGGTTATGATGGACGAGAGGCCTGTAAGATAGCCTAGTTTCAATTTGTGGCCAACTCGTCATCCCTGACATTTTTCATGATCTTGTTATTCTTTAACCATTGCAAGTCTAACAGTGAACTAGTATCAGCTGCAAGATACTTGATAATACTATGAAATTGTACTATAGAAGAGAGTCACCTTATTCTCACAATAATCTCTTCAATCATTGCAACAAGGAGGATTTGGGTTCGTTTACACTTAGCCTAATCTTACCAGTAGTAAAGAGACTGGCGTGTTTTCAAAAGTTCTTCCGTTGTAAGTCTTTCTAGACACGATCATCCACAGTGGGCACTCTAATTAGTATCATTTTAAAAGAAAAGACGTTCATGTCCTTCTTTTAGAGCCAAATTTTCCAAGACTTTTATCACTGAACTGCTCTAGTTACTTTTAAGGGATTTAGTTGATGCAACAATCTGGAAATCATTTACATATCAAAGTGTAGAAGAGCCTGAGAGCCTGATGAAGAGGATCGTGGATAACTGGAATGCCAAAAGACTGAAAAGGTCTAGGTAATCAAATACACGATTTAACTAAACACCCTTTTATTCTACAAGCTAAGCTTATTTTTCTTCTCTCTTAATGCATGCGGTTAGATGCAGTCGCCTGATTACCGATCAATCCGATAATGGGCAGTCTCCTATCCAGCTAATTGGATGGACCATCTGCGTTCCCAATACCAGACGAAAAGTGACAGTTTTGGATATCTGATGAAACGGACTCAACTATGATTCCCCATGCAGGTGTGGCAGATTGCCAGGTCAAATCTGTCAAACGAGGGAGGTAGGCGAGTGACAAGTAAGTGCTGTGATTTGGTATAACGGTGCGGTATAAGCCGAAGGAGAATAGGAATACTTCAGTTAGTCGATTACTTTGTCTTAAATTCATTCCATAATTCTTACTAGTGTTCATGTGATGTTGATTTCTATCAATATCCCGTTGAGAATCCATGTTCAGGGGTAGATTAAGTGTAATTCAAGGGTAACAAAACACAGATAAAAAAAGAGAGATTATTCTGAAAAATCAATGACTGCCTGACAAACTAGATTGATTGATAGCTGACTAGGCACAATTTAGGAGGGCTAAATGCAACCTTTACGCATCGAATCACTTTTAAGCGCATTTTTTTAATCAAATTTGGTAGAGTAACGAAAGCAAGCCGGAAAATGTCAGGGGTAAGCACTTCTGGTGGAATGAGTTTTAGGTGAGATCTCAATGGAAAAATCTTATCGGTGTGATTAATGCCTTCTTACAATAGGATATCTGTCAGAAAAACTGCTTTTTGGCTGAAAAATTCCCATTCTCTGTTTTTTCTCTTAGTGACATAAGATTGACGGACTGGGCTGTCAGGTAATTAACAGAGTCAAAAACTGACCAGCATATGATTGTGATGAGCCGTTATTGCATCACGGTTCAATTTTATATGAGGCAAAATTTAAGCCAGATTTATACTTTAAACTTTGGAGTTTAAAATTCCTAAACATAAGAGCACATTAGGCTGATTCTCTCAGAAGTTATTGGGAAAACTTAGTGATTGACATTTTTATCACACTATTAAAATTTACTGTGAAATTTAATGTTTAATGACCTATTTAGATGCTTTTATCAGTGAAACTAAGGTATTTTTTTATCGTAGTCTAATAAATCTTGGAAAAATCTGGTTTTAAATGACGAGCTGAGAGATCTTTACTTTTCAAATGCATCGGCTAGAAACGCACCATCACTTCTCTAAAAAATATCTGCTACTTTACAAAATAAAGTTTGCTTTTTGCTAGTAAAATTTTGGTTGATTTTTTATTAAGAATTCTCATTCGGGAAGCACGGAACCTCAGTGTCTTCTACTTTCCACAAGGCAAAGTTTAATCTTTACTAATTGGGCGGGACTATCTCAAAATACCCTTTGATCACGGTACAAAACTGGTTTTTTATCTTCAGTTTTCCCTCCATCGCTTAATCATGCGGTCAAATTCGCGATTATTAAAGGAGAGGACGTTACACCATTTTTTCTGTTAATTACTTTACCAATACTTAACACAGATGCATCATTAACGTTGTGACTCCGTGTAAAAATAATAAATGACCAACTTTTATTTTCCTTGATTTTTCAAGAAGAAGGGGGAAATTTGATGCAATTATCAGCCAATCATACATGTCACTCCGATTTCGGCCTGTCCAGTGAAAGCATGCTCTTTTCCAACAACATGGTCAAGTTGAATGAACTTTATTTGAAATGACTTGATCTGATATGAACTTGTCTGTAATTAGAGACATTCTATCAATTATCTCTGATGTAATGACAGGTCAGTCAACAGTTATTACGGTTAAGACAGTAAGTGGATAAATAGAGTAAGATGTATTCGCCTAATCGCTTATTCGCAGAATTATGAAATATTCATGTGTGAAATATTCTGAAAAGTAGTCAATCTACAGATTTGTTTGCTGATTCCTGGAATAAGTCAAAATCAATACAAGAAGATTTTTAAAGAAACTTGGCGGGATTTATGTCAAAACTGGGCTAGTGACAACAATAATATCATCTACAAATTTAAAAAAAAGGGAGCCTTGTACTGTCATTATAGATTGCCTAATGTCCTAACAACTGTCACCAAAACTAGTGAGAAATGGATAGTGACTTGTGAAATATTTATGGCTCTTAAGTCATCATTCATTACTTGATAAGCAACTATAACGAACAAATTAATATATGAATTTGACTACTTTTTCCGTGATTTAGCGTAATTGGCTCCGTCAATGAGCTCTTATGAAAACCGTCGTACACAACACATTATTCTCCGTTAAAAGTTTTCAGAATGTTTTAAAGGATAGTCACCTATTAATCATATCCTTAATGAGAGATGAAAATCTCGGAAATATTCCCCCTTGATACCACCAGAGTAGCTCCTGAAAAGGTTAGGAGGTAAACAAATCTAGAAATAGATTGCACCCGGTGATCAACAAAAGGTTAATAAAATTTTGTTTAAGGTGGAAACTGATAGATTTTGTTAAATGTAATTATCTGTGAGTACTAAAAGCATAGACATGCGTAAGTCCAGTACCCAAGGCGAACTTGTCAAGAAAGTGAAGTCGTTCGTTACGCGAATGGCAACCGGGACAGTCGTGGTTGGTAAAAAATTAGTGTCGCATGAGTTAGCAGGTGAGAACAAGTTTTTAAGTCTATAAATCTGTTAGACACCTTTTTAAGTAGTGTCTGCTGATTGCTGACTGAAGTACGATGAAAAAATGGCAGCCCTTGTTTTATACCACTGTCCATCCTAAACCAGTTCACTCCATGCCTACTCCGCATGCCTGGAGCATGCACCAACTCATTTACTGGGAATCATTTTTTTCTTAATTTCCAGAAAACTACGGTTAATGTTTTGATATGTCCTATAAACGCACAGGGCAAAGCTATTTACAAACAGTTGGATCTGGGAACCAGCTGAAGAAAAATCCCCCTTGTATTCCCACATGCAATACGGCATCTCTTGCTACACAAAACCAAGAAATTAATCCATGTGAAGGTTAGCACATTAGGTTCAGAAGGGGGAAGTAGTGTAGACGGTACTGTCGAATTGTTATTTTTATCCTTGTACTCTGTAGCCCTTAGTGCTTATCAGGTTTTCTTAAGATTACCATTAGCCAATCACACGGAAAGTAAAATGAAGTAGAAATTCGAATTTCCATAATAAGGTTTGCTGTTAGAAACAACATCCTTTTTTAAAACGGACTTTGCAACAGACTTGCATCAATCCAAAAGGGATGTCAGGCATTGATGCTTCCTTCTAACAACTACAAAATATATTTTATACTACCATAATGACATCGACAATAAACTCTTAGACGGCGTAAACAGTGCGTTAATTAGTATGTACTTCGTTCAATGTTATGCATCAAAAAATCGCTTTGTTTAGATTTTTAAATCAACTTTTCCCCTACCTTCCCCACGACTCCTTTTCTTAACCTGATTTAACTTGACATTGTCAAGATTTTTTCCTCTACCCCTACCCCTACTCCTTTTCGTCCACCCCATCTACCTTCGAGTAATCACATCTGATCGGTCTGAGGTGGCAGATAAGGAGACATCGTCATCGTCGCTAAAAGTGAAACGTCCCCCTCTCTATCCACATGTTTTTGCAGGCTGAATGGCAGACAGGCAGAAGGCATGACGGTTTCCTCCCGCACTACCCTCTCGCATCAAAAATCTGCAGGCTTGCAGCACATTACCGCTTTTCGCAAAACTGCCAGTTGTCTAATCAAACGTGATTTCTCCGGCCTCTCCACCTCCTCTTCTTTCCACTCATCTACGATCCTTGCCACCGTGTGTTTGTATCGTTGTGACAGTAGGATGATGGGAGATTAGATTAATTATACTCGTCCTTGCGTCGTTTGCCTCCAGTCCACGCTGTCACGGTCATCTGCCGTCCTACCGCCTTCGCCTACCCCTGTCGATTGTCTGTTTTCCTCCTGAGTTCCTCTGCTTCGTTGACTAGCCGAAAGAATGGAGCAGATTTGTATCCACGTTCTTGGTAAATATGACCACCTAGAGTTAAAATCTGACTTCAAACTACAAAAGCCCATCAGAGAATATAAAAATTGCAGTGTTCAAATGGAGGCTGACAAATATTCTTTCTGTAAAAAGGATGAATTTTTTCCTTTAGGCTTAATTGCCGTTCTTCTAATCATATACCACAGATGATTTAACGTGGATTCTTATTACTCTAAAGAAACGTAAACGATGTGATATCTTCTTGATTAGCAGCCCCTTCAAACATTGCTCATAGAGGAAAAATCACTTTGAGCGTGTCTAGCGATCCAATGCTTTAATGTTCCATCGAAATACCTTACAAATCAAAATTATTCGTTCAAATTATTCCACGAATTTATGGCAAAACAATGGAAAATTGGGGTGGGGGAAATTTATGCGGACTCTTGGAGAGGGTTCACATAGTGTAAGGTACAAAAATTGGAAAGAAACCTAACTAAACTCTAAAACAATACTTTTGAAAACCTTTATAGAATTGTTGTTTAATTTGCATTTTTACTACAAAGACCAGGTGAAATACGCTATACACTTGTTGCCCCTGTCTTGGGGAATGATTATATCACACTCAACTACTGCTTTGTTGACCCAAGTAGATGGGTAATAAAGAGGGGCACTAAGCTCGAGAGTCAAATAAAGGCTGCGTAAGTGAATGAATTTTGCTTAACAGTTTTCTATATTCTGCCATTTTTTTAGACGCCACAAGAGCAGCATTAAAGAGTGGGCCTCAGAAATTTCCTTAGAACAAATCCAAAGCACAAATATAAGTGTTTAAGGCATATCGCCAAAACCGCCCTATAATGCTGAGATTATTTTAAGCAAAAGTCGGTTCTCTATAAAGCGGGTCTGAAAGTTATGTCAAGAACGATTTTGACTTTGTTTGCTAAAAAAAGAACTCACAATTCAGTTTACTCGATACAACAGAGTTATTAACCTTGAATAACAATGCACAGGACAAATGAAATCCATCTCTTTTTGTAATAGCTGATTCAGCATAAATGTTACACATTATGAGTAAGTGCTATTCACACAAGATTTTTTGTCTAATTAGCAGAATTAGTGATTTTGTCCAGTAACATAATAAGGCTTGAAAGCATCCATATTTGACTAAAAACAAAGAAGATTGAAAGCCTAAACTGAAGGAGATGCAGTGGTTTGCTATTGACGTCACTGCTCATTCTTCTAACAGATGTCAAGATGGTGCTTTACAAGTCTACAAAAGTAGCTAGGACAGCCTCTCTTTTATCCCATTTGATGGACCCATCAACTGACTCAGGGATGACTTTTGTCTTTTGTCAAGAATTTGATTGTGATCTTCGGTAAATTTGAGGTGATGACAATCAAAACTATCAAAAAGGGAAATTGATTGCCTTTGTTGAATTTTGCTACGAAAAGCGCTTGACACAAAACTGTCGCCTCTCTCAGATTCGAAGGTGTTTAAAACCCTGCGATTAACAATAAGAAGATAATTTAGAATAGAGGAGGTGGCCTTTCTGCTGCGGCATTAAGAGAACAGATATATATCCTTGACCACCCTCGTACAATATATTCACTACTCACCCCATACTTTCGAAGAAATGCACCTGTTCATCTTCTAGAGCTATACTAACCTCGGAAGAATGTAAGTTTATGGTGATTTATGTATGAAATCAGTCACACCACACTTATTACCGGGGGTCAGGTAAACACAATTACAACCTAGTTGCAACCGAAGGTTGCTAGGATATTTTGATCCGTAGAAACGATGTCCTCCTTTTCCTTTTACACGAAGATGCAAAGTATTGTACCTTATGTCACTGCAAAATTGACCTATGTGAAGATCTGCACATTAGGATGGGAGCGATAGAGGGAAGAGAATACCACGTACTCTCTTGACGCAAACATTTGACAATCATGTAAGAAATAGAATGAAGAGGGAGTTAGTAAATGAATTTAATACTGAGAGTGGGATACTCGTGACAAAATTATTTGCCATTAGAGTCAAAGTATTTCTTTAAAAGTGGAGTTTGTGTCCACTTCTGGGGTCAATTCAGTCAGTAATATTATTATAGCAGAAAATTATTAACTATTTCTTTATTTTAGTCACCTTATTTTGGACTTCATAATTATTTCGACAGGGGACACCCCAACAAAAATATTTCACTAACTTAGAAAACAATAATTCCTCCGTTCATGCGGCTTTTAATTTCTTTCCTCTCTCCTGTATTACTGGCTTTTCAAACTAGGAAATCTTAAAAATATGGTTATCTCCGAAGAGCAGAGATTATGAAATTTACACCATTGTGGAATTTTGTTTTATGAGCCTTAGTATACGAATTAAGTTGCTAGTAAATAATTGAGCTATCCTGCATGTTTTTTTCTTTTAACATTTACCTTTGAGTGCTACTGTCAAAAATAACCCAGACGCTACTATTTAATGGCACTCGGAAGCCACTCGTTGATTGTACAATGAAGACATTAAGGAGAAAATTGCACCTTCCCTTCGTAATCTAAACATGATGGATGGGACGTTGTAACCAGAACTTGAAGAGTGACATTGCCACCTTTTAGATAGCAGATAGTTTGTCTTCTAAGTTAGCCAGGGATAGCAGTAAAATTTTGGTCTCTTTTAGTAAAAAAATGCATATATGACTTGAAGATGCGATACGTTTTTTATATATTATAAAGTACTCACTTTACTTAGTTCCACGCAAGCTGAAGCACTTGACAAAACTCTGATCTCTACGTATTATCACTTGTTAAACATTTCCTTTCTTTCTAAAACCCTCCATTTATTTTTTTGTTTGTTCTAACAAATCTACGAAGAGAGATTAATTGAAAATAAGACTAAACTATGCCTTTTGGGCATTTTGAAGGAAGAGGGAATAGCAACAGGTAGCTTTGGCGTCCGCAGTATGTGGGGGAGGGGGTTCTGAATGCGGGAATAGAACTATGTCATTATAGAAAATAAAAAAACTCTACTTCTTCCCTCCTATTCATTCTTGAAGTGACCATTCATCCTTTCTATCATTTCCTTTTTTTCCTCTTTGTTGGTAGCCTATTATAGGAGGGTACGAGCAAGTACCCCGAGATGCACCGTTCTTGTCTGACTTTGAAGCGAGTGAAAAATGACGTTTCTATAAGTTTTACCCCCTTTTGATGTTTCACGTAATGCAGCCGACTGCGTTTGTGCTGTGGAGTAGGTGGAAACTACGGAGGAATGAAAAAAGGGACATTGATCGATGGAAACGAATTTGCCCCATCGTTATTATTAATTAGGACATCGCCAACCTTCTTATCTTCCGCTTTGCCTAAAACCATCCTTTCCACCAAAAAAACGTGCTTAAAATTCCAAAGCAGCAGTTTGGTCCAATTTTTTTTGATACCAATAACCTCAGTGCATTATAAAACCTCAAGCTTCCTAAAATAATATTTCCTTCTGTTCTTCTATAAGTTTGTGGATTTTTAAGACTCCTAAAGGTCTATACCATCAAAAGACTACATTATTTTATGTTGGTGGTGTCGTAAAATTTACGCTGAACAATGGACTTTCCCCCAGTTACAAACAAAATCTATGATTTACCGATTGACGCTATAAGTGCAGGCAACTAATGTTGGTGTTTAAGGGATTTTCGGAGCATTTCTTCCTTATGTAAAGAAAATAAAAACGTTTTACCAAATTGGCATCCAGGATGACCCACGTAAAACAAAATAATTTGTCATGCAACTTTATCGACTGAATCGGGTGTTTGAGCAGATGGTGGGCAATGAAAGCAAATGATGTATAGTCTAATACTTAGTTAGGCATAAAGTGAAGTTTTAATAATCGACCTCTGTAAACAACGCACTGCATATAGCGCAGCAATGCATAGGTCATGCAACACGCCCAATGCTATCGACTAAACCACAAGTTATTTAATTCTTCAATCCAAATATTTCTCAATAGCACCAACTCATTTGATATATGTTAGGTCAAGTAGTTACTCAAAATCGCCTTTCCCAAACCCTTTGACCAGTTTTTACAAATACTAGCAATGAGTCGTCTCCACCCTGTTAGTTAAAAAATCACCAAAGTATCCTTGTTTGTGGAATTAACCAATTTTACAGCCGACCAATTAAATTAACACAGACAATTTCATCAATCGGGATTCATTTAAGTCCGCAGAGGAGAAAATCAAGGTAACCTGTAGGGTAAGCACTGCAAAATAGGACCCAGTGACACCTGATGATTATAATTGCATCATTGGGTACGAGAGGGGTAAAGAGGAAGCTCGAAAAGTTGAAAAATGCTTTGTTTTAGTCTCTAGAAAGTAACAGACTAGAAGAAATGAGGCATGAAGGGTAATTATGTTTAATTGACTAAGATCCCCTTTCTCTACCCTACTTCATGAGATAATTGCTATCGTACTTGACAGTAGATATGGCGGTTAAATGTCAGAGCCCTTCGGCCTCATGGCATCAAGGCAAGCTGGACACTATCGAACAACACAGAATGTTCTTACACTTCAAGTAAAAAAGTGTCGCTACTATTTTTGCGTCTGGGAGACATGGACACAATGGTCACGAGCGTGTCTGTAACTGTCATGACCAAAGAAAAAAGAATAAATGGGACAACGCGATTAGCTACCGGTCTTGATAACCAGTTGGTTTTAAATTTCTGCATTTTGAAAGGCCAATTATCTGATAATTATAGCAAACTGAGAAAGGAGAAAGTTTTTAAAATTTTCTTCTTTGCAAAAAAAAATGGGAGTCACATTTCGAAGGTGAAATAACGATGTCAACATGTAGTTTTTCTTAGCAAAAAATATATGCTCCCATGATTCGGCTGAAATAATTCTTTTGCAGAAAACTCTAAACTGTAAAAAAGAACAGACAAATTTATTCACTGCTTTTTAATAGGGACCAAACAAACTAGGAAAATTGGATTTGTTATTGGAAAGGGGAAATTC